TAGGCAACATCTCAAAGTTGCACCTCCAATTCAAGTTAAGTTTAGGGACGCTGGACATATTTTCAGAAATTATTCTGAACAGAGGATTAAAATAAGAGATCGTGGTTCTGCACAGTATATGAAACAAAGTGCCTGGTTTTTAAAAGTTACATTGAGTTTCCTGCAGTATATCTATGGGACCCTTAACTAAGGCATTTTTCCATTTGAATGCATTATTTCCTGATGTGCCTATCACAGTATAGCAGACACACCCAATTATTTTTACCTCACCTCAGAAAATGTGACCCAAACACCACGTCAAAGACAGTAACTGTATTTGGTAACTGTATCTCTCAATTCAGCCACATCAGTCACTGGTACACGCATGCATTTTGACTGACTCTATTTTTCCACCGAGAGTTTATTCTTTGTGATGATAACACCGGCCTAACTCATCTAACAGACCATAAGTAGTTAGCACATGATCAGAAGAACTCACGTTTCTTTAAGACCTTGCCATAACATACATGTTTGAGTTTGTGTCAAGCTCACTTAATTAACATTTCCTGATTGCCTAAAAAAAGGTATTTCAGAATTCAAAATGAAGTGCTACAATATGGCATTTTTGCTATCTTCAGGAGAAGTTCAGAATAAGGTACTTTATATTATTTTGGCTAGCCAAGTTGTCCCTACTGAATTGAATGAAAAAAAATTATATTTTATATATAATGTGATTCTGGTTAATCTAGTGAAACGATTTCTTTCCAAAGCAAGCATAGAAAAGGCACTTGAAAGCATGTGGTGAACACTTAATGAGCACGATTTTAATGCACTAATCACAAAAAGCTTATGACAAAGTGAGCTAGCATTAAACACTGTCAACTTAATAACATTGAACAATTTCCCGAAGTTCCTCACATTTTATATTTGATTTGATTAAAAATATTCCTTCACATTGAAAATGTACTAGCATCATCTAACAGCAGGCTGTCTCGATCACGTATGTGCTTATAAATTCAATATTTTTGGTGACTGTGGTAATGTATATTAATAAGTCAATACATTCTGAGTCCACTAAACTAAGCAAAGCAGCTCACTGGACTAACAATAGTCTGCCCCTGAGTTCTGACATGCTACTTTTACTTAGTGATACGTTGATTCCAGTCTTTTGGTGTCCGTGGGCCAATGTTTCTTACTTGTTTTAGTTGACAATAGTGCAGAATGCAGTAGAATTGATTCCACGTCAAAGTTTCATTTTGATCCTAACAGATCCTTTGTCTGTGCTTTTACTCATCTTTTCAAAACAGATAAAAGGGACCACTGAACTATGATGACCTATGCCTTAAGGAGGGAAGGTTGTGCAGGGTCCTTCTGCTCTCCAGGCTTACAGGTACATAAAGAATCGGCACTCTGCCCTGACCAGGTAAGATCTTGCAGGTATCAACTTCTCTCTGTGTGCCTTTGTTGTTGTTGTCTTTCTTTGTTTAAAAGCCAAATTCAAGAACAGAAAGAATAATACAGTGAGATCTCAAGTTCAGAGAGAACATAAAATTTTGAGTGATAAAGAGACAACATTTGTTTTACTTAATTAGGGTGACATTTAAATTGAAAACAATAAAAAAGGAGACAACAAAGCAGTTTATCTTGAAATTCCTGGCTAAAAAATATGAGAAAGTTTATCTAACAATCAATAATGTGAAAGCATTTGGGTTTCAGTGGTTTATGAAGCAAACGATAAAAGCCCTTTCAAGGCAAATTTTCTAGACCTTGACCACAGAACTCATTTTTTAAAAATAATGATGAACAAAATTCTTCAAGCTGTGATGATAGCTGAGAAACACTAATCCTTTTATGTTAAGATAGCTTGAAATGCATCAAAATACTCAGAAAAATGTTTGTTCTATATTTCTCATGTTATCTGGTGTTCCTACCCTCACAATTTATTACATTCTTTATTTGATCTTTTATAAGATATTATTTTCTTCCAAAGTGTCTGTTAGATGAAAGAATTCTGTTCATCGTGCATGTTCAGAGACTAATAGAAGAGATGTTCAAACCTTAAACACTTCCAGCTCCTCCAGAATGAGCTCGCTGCTGGCAGAGCTGTTAGTCGGAAGAACCACCACCTTCTGCACAGTGCCCCGATCTAAGTCAGAGAAAGAACAAGGAGATGTTACAAGTCCTGTTTTGAAAGGGTGAGAAAGACACTTAGACATAAGATTACTGGCTAACAAACCAATGGACATGGACAACAGGGGGATGGGAGCATGAGTGTGCGGGGCGGGGGGGAGAGGTTGGGGGTTAATGGGGGAGATGAGGACACATTTGTAATACCTTAACTAATAAAAAAAAAGATTACTGGCTTAGAATTTAAAATATTATTCTTACATCATATAAACATTACTTTAAGCATTAATTATGCCACTCTATGAATCAAATATATTTTAGGTTGAAAAGAAACCAGTTGAGATTTAGCAATGTGGGATTAAAGCACATTTTTGAGTGATGATTTGATCAAATAATAATACATTTCTTCCAAAATATGTTTCTAATAAAATAATGAGATCATCTTGATCATCAAGGCCTTATTCTTTAATGTATAAGCATGAACTTGTGAATTTTTAATTTGGAAAGGTAAATTGCCACAGACACTGGAACACTTTGTAATTCTGTTGACAAATGTCCATGAGAAGAGTTAACTTGCACTGAGTTGTACAGGACTTTGCAACTAAGAATCACTTAGTGATGAAACCACAAATCACACATCTCACATCTCAAATTGTCCTTTTTTCTACATGAAAGATCCTCTTCATGCTTACAGTTTCTATTTTATGAACTTAATTAAAAGACTCAAACTAATTCTTAATAAAAAATAAACTGTACTTTAAAAGGTTACCAACTAAAATATTAAAACCTACTAAAAATTTTAAAAAAGTTTATATACACAAGAACAAGATTTGGAGATTTTTCCAGAACAATCCTTAAATCTTGTGAGGATACAAAGTATCTGATCTTAGAAGCACCTGATCTCACAAGTTTTAAACTATATCCCATAACTTAAAATTCATTTCTTCAGCCAAACTCAAAAAAAATAAGCAACAATACCAAAGCTTTGCAGGCTCTAGGTGTAATTTAAACACTTAAAAAATTTTAAATTGATTAGCTTCCTTAGAATGAGCCCTGGTAACAATCTGTACTATTCTCCTGGAAAGTAAGTAAGGAAATTATATGTTGGAAGTGAAAAAAACACTTGAGGACGCCACATAGAAAGGTCACAATTGAAAATTGATGAATGTGGTTGAGGTGTTTCCCAATTTCTATCCAGAGTTCATCACCAAGAACAGTGGAAACTTTGCAGAAATAAAACATGACAAAAAACCTAAAATGAAATCCTGGAAATGAAAACAGGGCAGGGTGTGTGTGTGTGTGTGTGTGTGTGTGTGTGTGATGGATGAGGGTGTAAAAACATCTTTGTTTTAGGTCCTGCTATCAGAAAGGTCATACTTTTTCATTTTTTAAGAAGTCACAACAGAGTTTATGGGTCCCCACTGCAGCTTGCAGGGATCACTGCCATTCCACATGACAGCAGTGGCCTCTTCCCCGAGGAGAGACTGAGCAGAAACTGTTTAACCATAATCCCAAACAAAACTACATGAAAGGAGATCTTGATTACAGGGGTTCCCAAAGATAAAACTATCAACCATGAAAATGATTAATAAGTATTCTCAAACGGGACAACTGGCTCTTTTTACCCAATGTCTTAACTTATTATGAGAGAAAACTTTATATAGATCATCATTTCTTCTGAAAGAAGCCACAGCAGACATACTTTATTCATGCCATTGTAAAATATTACAAAAATAGCAGCTATACAAATGGTCTAAAGAAAGGTAACATAAAACTTGCTTTTTACTTATTTGTAATCAAAACCGGAGCACCCCTTTTTATTGCTTGTCTTCCTATTTTAGTTTTGTTTGCTTGTTTGTTTTGCTGCTAATGATGAGTTAATTTCTATTTCACTTTAATACCATTAAAGGAAAATACATATATTTTTTATCAAGTAAAACTGAAGTTATGTGAAACTCTTGCAAAAATGTAAGTATATTTAAGTATTGGTAACAATACTGAAAGTGAAGCTTAAATAAAATCATAGAAATGCAAGATCCACATACAGAAACAAATATTGATTTGATGCCCATTATGTGAGTGGCTCAATGATAGAAATGTATCATTTAAATCTGCCTTTCAAGAAAAGAATATCCATTTTAATTCTTTCATTTTTCCATGCTTAGATTTGTATTGGTATTTTAGGAGCTTGCATTTCTGCAGAGCCCTTTATTACACTGATTAAGTTTTAATCAGTGCATAACAAATGAACACATTTGTTCCTATTATAATTACACATATTAAAAGTTCTTTATGCATAAATTAGAATAGTCATTCCAATTTGTGGTTTTAAAAATGAATGGAAGAGGTTTAAAAATCCCTGTATTATTGTTAATCATCACTATTAATAATGGTTAACCCAGGTTTATGGACATTCAACTTACATAGTTTAGGGGGACTTTCGTTAAGTAAGATAATACAAAAATACAAAAACAGAGTTGTTTGAGTCTTTCCCAATAGCTAAAAATGAGAAACTTTAAAACTATGATAAACCACCGCTGATAATTAGTCCAATTTTCTAAAAAAAAGATTCTATAACACTAGACATATTTTTTGTGATATATTCTTTAAATGATATATTTGTATAATATATTATTTAAATCAAAAAAGTTCTGGTTATCTAATATCTACAAAATCTTATTACTACAATTTTATCATTCAAGATCACTCTTTAAAAAAATGTTTTTATTGATTTTAGTGAGAGAAGAAGGGAGAAACTTCTCCATTGGCTTCCTCCTGCATGCCCCCCTACTGGGGATCAGGCCTGCTACCCTGGCATGTGCCCTGACCAGGAATTGAACTTATGACCTCTCAGTGCGTGGGACGATGCTCAACCACCTGATCCACATTGGCCAGGGCAAGATCACTCTTTCAAGTGCCAGCAAAATGTTGGAATATTTATTTTTTCAATTGAGTATAAGCAGACCTACCTCTTTGTTTTGTTTATTCATTGGACTTTCTTCTACCCCTACCAAGATTATACTCATTCTGTTTTTCACATCCCTCCAAGTTTATCTTTCTACACTCTATATTTTTTCTCTGTTCTAAGCACGATCACTCTCTTCAGGCATACCTTATTCAAATTAAAATCCAAATCACATTCCCTGTTTCTTTGGATACACTGTAGTTTGGCATTATTGTATTTGAAAGTGGTGCTCAGAATTATACAGGTTTTTTTTTACGATGATGCCAGATCTCAGCGAGACTGGAATATTGAAGACATAGCAATAGTTCTAGTAAGTCAGTCAACAACTTAGGTGACTACACAGACTCTCTAGGACTTGGTGCCTCAGAAACAAATATCCTAACTCTGGTGTACACCATTTACAAGCTCCCACTTTGGATGTCTTTATATTTCTGCTCCTGTTACAAACTGCCTGATGCCCACAAGCTCTAATTCAGATTCTCAAGAGACAGATTTAATTTGGTCCAACTTAATTATGACTAAAGCATATCATAAACCAATACTTAGTAGACAGTTCAGTTATCAAATGCTTAAGTAACATTTAAATCTGTTGTGGTGCTGAGAAAGAGTCATATATGGAATTACCCATGACTCCTCCCTAATAAGATGGTTTCTTTCAAAAAGCAGTCTTGGTAGACACCTATAGTTTTTTTTTTTGAAAACAGACTCAAATCCTTCACTTCCCTATATAGGAAATACTTTTGACATATCATTGGGACTGTATTATCCACTACTATGTAAATACATAGATTTAGATAATCTTCTATCCATTTTCACTCATTGATTCAACGTAATATTATTGAACACTTTCAGTGCGTCAGTCATCATATCAAGTATGTATGCAGAGATAAACAGGCATAGTCCTCAAGATTTCACAGTTTAGGATTTATGGTTTTTTGAGTATTATGTGTGTTCCCATTAATATGTTAGTCACTAAAAAAGATGCATTTTAGAATGTTCATAAAACTCCCAATTCATTATGTCCATATAAAGCTGTCTCTGTGTCCTTTAGTTTGAAGATGATAATGTAGTCATCAAATGTCTTTCTTCTGAGGGTAGTAAGAATGGCATTCCTTGAATGTATTGACAACATGAATCATTTTTAGTAAAGCTGTCTCTGTGTCCTTTAGTTTGAAGATGATAACGTAGTCATCAAATGTCTTCTGAGGGTAGTAAGAATGGCATTTCTTGGATGTACTCACAACATGAATCATTTTTATTGCACTGCAGAATTGGGATATTGTTTTTATTTCCTTGGGAAAAGCATCATACCTACAACAGAGTTACAGTGACATAGATTATCATCCTTTTTTCCTTAAACCCCAGTTTGCTTGTGTGTACATGTAAATGATAATTATACCTTTTGTGATGGATGCCTGTTACTAAGGCTTACCTAGAATCACCTCCCCTTCTTTTGATAATAACATGCTGAGACCTTTGGGAAAGCGCCCCCTTCTCATTTACGTCTTCATAGTTGAGGAATGGTGTAACACTCTCCCGCTCAGGGAGACACACAGGACTGGGGCTGGTCCTAAAGGGCATTCCTTTGCCTGTGATTCATGCAGGAGTGAGCACAGAACAAGTCAGGGCGAGTGCTCCCTGAGAATTAGATAAGTGGAAACCTCTTTCTTTCTGAGTTCAGGGCTGTTAAAGACATAAATCTGAAGATGTTGGAGCCATCCTTGCTGCCATATGCTGAGGATTTATGTTGTGAATATATTCAAGGAATGCCATTCTCACTACCCCCAGAAGGAAGACATTTAATAACTACATTTTCATCTTCAAATTAAAGGATACAGAGATGGCTTTTTGTAGACATAAGTAATTGGGAGTTTCATTGACATTCTAACATGCATATCGTTCAATGACTAACATTTTGATGGGAGCACACATAAATCCTGACATCATTTTAACACAGATTTAACTATGCCTGAGGCTGCCTCCTGTATTTCCCAGTGAACACACAAAAAGGAAAACACACACACATTTTTTTTAAAAAACTAGTTTGAGTAAGG